AAGCAGACCTTGGGGGCAGTTTTATTGCCCCTTTACTCTTGGCCCAGCACAGCAAAGCCAACACAGAACAGCAGCAGATGAAATTTGTGGTGTGTTTGTGCACAATCTCTTTCCTCTGGCTAAAACAGGCTTGGACCTGAMCCTCAGCAGGTTGTGAGGTGCAGGACAAAGGCTGAGCTGAGCAGGAACGTTCAGCCCATGGGCTGTTTAACCCCTCTGTGTTCCAGGCTGGAGTCGCCCACRCGCGCGCTGGTGATGGAGGCGCCCAAGGGCATCGAGATCAACGCTGAGGCCGGCAGCCTGAAAGCCACGTGCAGGACAGAGCTCAGGCTGGAATCCAAAGATGGAGAGGTGAGTGGAAGGCATGAAGCCCTGCAGCAAAGCCAGGCCAAGGCACAGATCTGTGCCCTGCAGGTCGGTAGCTCTGTGGCTCCCCAACCCATTACATTTTCAACACCCAGGTGCTCTGGGCTCCCTTGACCTCACTGCTGCTAACTGGGATTGGGCTCATCCCATGCAAATCAGGCTCATTCCGTGGCAAAGGCTGATCCATTATTTTTAAAGTGCAYGGATAATAGCATCTGTTGTTGCAGCAGATTTATGCAGCTGTAAAATGCACAGCGCTCCTRTATTCTTTGTTTCCTTGTCACTTTAAAACAAGATTTACTTGGCCAACATAATTAAATCTTTTATCATATATTTTTCCATAAGAAGAGCTTAATTCACTGGTATTGATCTGAAAAGCTTTTGTAGCTGATGTTTCATTCTGGAAAGAGAGGCAACATTAGGACACATTAGGTTGTTGCACTGGAGAAACTTCCAAAGGGGAAGAGAGAATAATTAAAACTGATAGCACAGRGCAAAAGTAAAATGGGTGTTGAGTTAAGCCCCTTCTGGTGTCACAAAAATATGTGGGCATGAGTTCTGACCCCCTCATCCTGCCCACAATGATGGGAGACACCAGAGGATGTGGCTGAGGAGCTCCCATGGGGGAAAGCCACAAAGAGCCTCATCAGGAGGAGCTGCCCATGGAACACAACCCTGCAGGCCAGAGGGCTCCACAGAAGGCAACATTCACCTATCTTAGTGTCAGGGGTCATAAATAGAATGACTTTTCTGTTGCAATTTCTGTAATGTCTAAACATTTGCATTTTAAGACATTCCAAACCTAGACCATGAGTGCTAACAAAAAAACCCTCAAAAATACAAAAAAAACCCCCTAGCTAATACACCAAGATTGAAATCCAAGGCATTTCACAACTTCAAGCAGTTGCTTTTAACACTAAGTTGCTTTTCTAATGCATAGATTGACTTGTATCTTTCAGGACATTAGATGGTTGGATACTAAAACTGGAGATTCTTACTGTAATTGCAAATGTTCTCAGTCATCCCATATTATTTTGGGGTTCTGGTTATTTTATTGTGTTCTGGCTGATGCAGTTGCCACGTGTCTGAGAGCTGCCACATGTTTGCCTTATGTTGTTTTGTGAGGAGGAATTTAGGTCTGTTACAGCATTTTAAGTTATTTTTAATGTACACAAAAGTGTTACACATAGACATAAAATATTCATAAAATATGCATAAAATATACATAAAATATACATAAAATAAAGTCAGTGCTGGGAGCCTGGCAATGGGATCACAGTGACAGAAATCCTGCTGGAGGAGCAGGGTGTTTGGATGGATGTGAGCTGTCCATGCTCCCCCCCTGGCCATGGGGTGCCCCTGGTTGGGTCAATCCAAACCTGGGATTGGAGTCCTGGATTCATGGTAAAGACAGATAATGTGCTCACCCAGATTTATATCAGACTTTCCCATCCTAAAACACTTCCCTACCCAGTTTTTTCAGCAGTCTGGAGGAAGCTTTTCAAACAAAACAACAGAAACAACAGCTCTTCACTAATTCTCTTTTTTTCTCTCTCTCTCTTCCCACCCCTCTGACTTCAGATAACGTTGAATTCTGCAAAAATCAAACTACCTAACTTGCCTCAAGGATCTTCCTCTTCTGCAGGGTCCAGGCAAAAAATCTACGAGCTCTGTGTGTGTCCCAACGGGAGGTTGTTCCTGTCTCAGGCAGGCAGCAGCTCCACCTGCCAGATAAACACGAGTGTCTGCCTTTGAGAGACAATTTGCAGTGGGGCATGGCAGGCAGCACAAAAGCCAGTTCTGGTCTCACAGACCCAGCTGCCAACTATTTTTACTAGAAACACAGAAAGCCTATCAAAGACTTTTTTTGTGTGTGCGCGCGCGTGTGTGTGAATATATATATATAAAAAATATATATATAAGATATATATATATATATCCTCTGTGTAAAACGATGTTTCAGTACAAGGAATCCCAGGGTGACCCTATTACATTTGTGTAGCATTTCTCTTTCCCACACCAAAATTTACTGGTACAATTTGCTGAATTGGATCCGATGCTCCCCTGGACCCTTTTGTATTAACACAGTGCGATGATCACCCCTCGTTTTTGATCATGATCTCAGAGCAATGGGATTGCTGGCTGGGCAAAGACCCTGGAACCAGTGTAGACCCTCCGAAATACAAAGGGAAGAGAAGCATCTCTGATTATTTTTGCACCATTAAATCAGTGGCGTGAAAAATAAGTAATWTAAAAAACAACAAAATAGCCAGATGTGCTGTGTTGATCACCTACAGTGGTCCAAGATACCCGAGGGTAAATTAATCTCTAATTACCACCCAAAGCATGGCTCTGTTGGGAGAGAAGGATGCATTTGGCCAATAGGAAAGTCCAGAGCTTYCTGCTGAAATAATCCATGTAATTTCCTGGAGAGGTTCAACACTTTGCCTTTGCATGGCCAAGGATGCCTTGTGCTATTCAGAGGTGACACATCAGRTCTAACACCAACCTAAAGTCACCTCTGTGCTGACAAAATTGGTGTTGAATTTAATTATTTGAAGGAAAAGGATCATKAAAGTTGTACTCAACAGAAAAATCCAGAACCTCCTCCRTTAACAGGTGTCCTGGATCACCCTKCAAACTCCCCATTAACACCTTTAATTTGAATGTACTTGGYGTGAAGGTGTGAAGATTTAAGATATGGACATTGGCTAAATACCTGTAGAAACAGAGAAAATCAATTATCCTACCCTTAGAAACTGAGAAAATTACAAAAATAAGTCTAATAATGTAGGTGCTACACCAGAATTTCTGTCATCCTTCTTTTCAAGGTATCAAGTCCAAGGTCACTTAGATTTGGTGGAGACTACAAATATCAGAGATGCTGACAATGAAAGACTTTTTTTTTAAGGACTTATAAAGATTGTGACAAATCAGATTACTGAAAGCAAGGGCTTTGGATGCTGGTTCCTCTAGAATTTGAGTCCCCAAAACTCTTTGGCTGAGTCTTATCATGGTTGTATTTTTCCTTATTTTAAAGTCTAGAAGTCATTCACGGGCAGGATAAAACACAAAAATCTGATCTGGTAAYATTACTTCTACTTTTGAAGTTTTGGAAAATAATAAGAGCCCAGATCATTGAATTCTGACCCATAATTTTATCCACATGAATGCAAAAATCCTTAAAAAAAAAACCCCAAATATACCAATTAGGGCAAAAGTTTCCAAGCCTTAGTAAATCTCACGAGGACAGCAAGGTTTCTAAGCCACTGAGATGCTTTTGAAATATTACCTCATGTGCAAATAAGACAGATCTGTGCCCATCCCTAGTGATATCTAACCAAAGCTGGTATTCTTCAAGTGATCTTCAAGATAAAACATAGCTGACAAAAATCTTTAGAAATAATTTAGCTCATTTTTTTACAGTTTTTCACGTATTTTCTATTTTCTTGTGGTCTCAAGAGTACCAGGGCTTGATTTTTTTTCTTACATTTTTTTTTAATGGACAATTCTGGCTTAATCCAAAACTGATTGGACTCAAAGAGAAGATATCTATGGAGTTTAGATTAGATGTGTTGCTGCCTAACAAAGCAGCACTCCCATAAAATTCCTGAAAGAGGATTGAACWATTTACTTTCATTTCAATAATGCTTTCCAGTGAATTAATGAATTCAAAACTATTTGTTAGTGAATGATTCCTGTAATTATTATGTCTTGAGTCAACGTTTGAATGCAAAGGGTCACCCAGGGTAACAATTGTATTGGGACACAGGACTATACCATCTCTGTTCAAAGAGGGGAATTGTGCCTATGCCTTAAGTCAATGCACTCAGCAAGGAGAAGCACATCATATTTATCTTGTTATTAAATCTAGTTTATTTGGGGGGAGGGGCAGRAGGGTGTCTTGGGAACTGGTTGTGCAACTTTAAACAGATATTGATGAAATACATTAAGACTGTAGGGGCACCTAGAATGATACAGACTTTTTTTTTTTTTTTTTAAACCATGTTAAATATAGCAAAATACTGTGTACATTACCTCTGGGACCGTGACTGAATTCCCATTCATAGTCCTACATTTACTGTGGAATTTTTTTCCCCTGTTTCATTGAATACTGATCACAAACCTTATAGCAAGCATGGCCCAATCCATAACCAAATCCTGTGTGAGCAGTTTGAAGAGTTCCTCTTTTGTGCTGCTCAGGAAGAGTTCCCTGAGCAGAAAACGAGTCAGATTAACGTTCCCATCCCTGGGAGAATTCAGGTGGGTGAGGAAGGCAGGGCTGGACACAGGGACTGGCCCATCAGGGATGATCCTGTTTTCTGTGCTCCACTCTGGAGATGCCCATGGCTCAATTCTCATCCCCGTGCCACCCTCTGGCTGCTCTGCTGAGGATTTCCATCCCAACAAATTAATTTCGAGTGGCTGCTTTTCTCAGCTGAGCTCTGGGATGAGGTTATCACCCCCTCATATCACAACAGCCATGAAACTGCTGAGGACATTCATATCTTGGCATGAGTTTCTGCTGGAGAGCTGTTAGGAAATGACCTTAACATCTGTGCCATCRCTGCAGATGCTTCTCTGAGGTGAACTAAGGGTACCTTAATTATGTCTACTGAAAGAATTCTCGTTGTTTCAATGTATTTTTCAACCGTGTTTCCATGTTAAAAAAAAAACATAAAATGATGTGTTGAAATGTGAGGARTTATTGCTGGAAAGAATGAACTCCTGTAGAGACTTGTAGATGATTTGAACACCACTTGAGTTTGAAGAGAGTGRTTTGGGTGATGCTGCCTGTGCTGGTGTCATCCCTGCTCTTCAGCCAGTGGCAAAAACAGAGAATGGGTCAGGAATATCCCTGAGGAGAAAGACTTGGCTTGTTGGTTGAGGGGAAACTCAGCATGACCTGAAGTGCACTCACAGCTCGGAAAGCCACCCCTGTCCTGAGCTGTGTCAAAAGCAGCCTGGGCAGTGGTCAAGGCAGAAATTCTGAGCTCTTGTGAGCCCACCTGCAATGCTGTGCCCAGCTTTGGGAGCCCCAACACCCAAAGGATGGAGGAACACTGGAGAGAGCCCAGAGGAGGCCATGGAGATGCTCTGAGGGCTGGAGCCCCCTGCTCTGGAGCCAGAGGGAAAGCTGGGGAGTGCTCACCTGGAGAGGGGAGAGCTCCAGGGAGAGCTCAGAGCCCCTTCCAGGGCCTCAAGGGGCTCCAGGAGAGCTGGAGAGGGACTTTTTCAAGGCTTCAAACTGACAGCAGGCAGGGTTAGGTTAAATATTAGGAAGAAACTCTCTACTCTGTAAGGTCCTGGCACAGTTGCCCAGAGAAGCTGTGGCTGCCCCTGGATCCCTGGAAGTGTTGAACTGGTCTTGTTGAACTGGTCTGGTGGAAGGAGTCCCTGCCCATGGCAGGAGGCTGGAACTGGATGGTCTTTAAGGTCTCTTCCATCCCAAACCATTCCAGGATTCCATGAAAGCAGAGGAAGCAGGATTGTGTCTCAGATCCCAGGGGGGGGGAATGAGCATTTTGTTTAAAAAGCTGCATGCAAAACCATCTGGCCATCTCACACTCCCCAGTTTGTTGCTGGGGCTGCTGTGGAGTGGCTGATTCTCCTGACTCCCTTTTCCTCCTGCCTGGCCCATAAATCCCTCACAGCTGCTGTACCTGCGTGTGCTGCTTTTCCCTGAATCCATTTAAACCAGAGCTTCCCTGACTGGAATTTCATCCGTATGCTCTACCTACCAGTGATAAAATGCCAAAAAACCTCAAGGGTTTTGTGTATTTTATTGCGAATCAGGCCTGCAGTTCAGTTCAGTTGAGCATTTGCTATCTGAGAGATGGGTTTATCTCAAAATGGAGTTTAGTTTTGGCTCCCAGTGCTGAGGCAAGGCTGGGTGGTGAATCTTTCTGCTGAGGTCAGTGGAAGAGYTGGTGATGGCCTGAGCTGGGACTGGAGCTGGACAGTGACCACTGAGGGCACTGGGAGCCCTGCCAGACCCTGCAGGATCCAGAAATGCATTTCTGCATGGCAGCTCTGTACAGGACTGCAGGACCTGGTCCAATTTGCTGCAAATGTGACACTTTGGGACAGGGTCAGGAGAATGACAGCTCTTACTGTGACTGGAACCTTATCCATGTGTAGTGTGACCCTTCTGGTGTCACAGCTGAGTTGGGATGGCTCTTCCAAAGCAAAGAGACTTTGTCATCAGCAAAAGGAGAGATCCTGATAATGGCTGTGCATCTGTATCCATCCTCCAGTTCCCTTTGTGGGTTTTTTTTTTTTTTTTGCTTTTTTATTAGCTTTTTTATTGGTTTGTTCGGGTTTTTTATTACTTTTGAAGTGTATTACCCAGCAGTGAGTGAAAGGGGCAGCTAAAGAGTACAAAGAAATGTTAACAGTAAAGTCATGAAAAAGGGGAAGCCAATAACTACTACAATATGTACAAAGCCTCTCCTAAATGTTCATTTTTAGAGAACTGAGTATGTGCAGGAGTGATTTGTGTTTGGTTACCTCAAACAGCTGTATTTTAGAAGGGCTGGGATTTTTTTTCTCCTCTCATGTAAATATCACATTGCACAAACAAAACATTTGAAGGCACCTGCCTAAAAATACCATCTGTAATATGGTGGTRTAGCAAAATGATGGCTAAATAAAAAAACCCTCCCTAGAAATTGCTTCAAGGTTGAAGAGAGATTCCTGTGGAAGTTGTGAAGGTGTCAGACTAGGTCACATCATAACCTGTGACAATAGTGAAAATTAGGTTTTGTTGTCACAAGATGTTCACATATGCACACAAATACACCCACACACTCATATACACTTGTTTACAACAAAAACCTTTTTTTTTTTAATATCTTTTTATGGCTTTAAGTTTCACATTGCAAAAGAGAGTGAGACAAAGACCAAAGACTTTCAGAAATTCATCCCTCTCTGGTTGCCCTCACACCTGAAATGCATTAACTTTAATGGTGCTTTTTTAGAACTGGGCAGGAAAAATGCAGGTGTTTCACAAAGCTGCATTTGAGAGAATAAAGCAGCAGGAAGGCTCTAACTTGGTTAATGGGGAGAGGAGRAAATAATGTGAAAAATCTTGAAATGTGTGCAGAGGGCAAGGTTACCTGAAATTTGAAATGTGAAGAAATAGCCCAGAAAGCTTAAAGACATCATCCTGGGCTGGAAGTATAAATAAATTGAGTAAATGGTGCCAGCTGTTCAYTCAGCTGCACCTGAGCATCAGCAGAGCTGGAGCTCCTCAGTGGAGAAGAGTAACTGCTGCACTGATTCCATTTTAGAAGTAACTACAGTAAAAACAACAAAAACAACAACAACAACAAAAAAAATGTTAGAGGCTGTGCTCTTTTTTATGGCTGACATTTTAGATTTTGAAATGTCATCATCCAGAATTCACCCCAGCAAGCGCAGGGCGTGTTCCTGCCGAGCTTTGCCAAGCGCTGCTTTGGTGCTTTTTGAATGTGAAAATACCAGCCTTTTTATTGCCCTGGCTGTTCAGGAACCTGATCCTGGCAACTGTTCCTTTTTCCCCATTTCAACCTTTTTTTTTTTTTTTTTCCCTCAGCTCTGAAATTGCTGTGTAATGTTTTGGTGTCCTGCTATCAAATCTGGGGAGATTTGGCAGCCCCCAAATGCGTGTCATGTCACATCTCAGTCCCACAGACCCCCAAAACCCAAAAACTGTGTGTAGAAGTGTCACTAGCACGAAATTGGGGACCCCCAGGTAAATTCTGCGTGGCAGCTGTTGTATTCACAGCTGATGTAGCCAGGTTTGTGTCTGTGAGTGAAGCAGGGCTGAGCACTGACGTGGTGCTGAGGTTTTTCAGGCARGAGTGGAGTGAATTAAACAAGGCAGGTGGGAGGGAAAGGGAAGAAATGGGGGGATACGTGGCCCTAATCACAGTAATGCAGTCAACATCTCTGTCCCTTTGCACTATTATACTTTAAATTAATAACATCCATTTTACTAAATATGGTGGCAATTATGTTTGATCTTTCCATGGAATTACTGTCACTGAAACCACTCACAGCTCGGGATTGCTGGGGTGTTGTTTCCATCCACAATAACCACCGTGGCTCGGGGCTTGGATGGAAATTACAGTGAATAGCTTGTATTTAGAAAGCTTTTAAGTCTGCCGTGGTTGAGAGGCCCCTGGTTATGCACATCCAGCCCTGAGGCTTTATCATTTCAGCCTCTCTTGTCCTGCCACTTGAATTGTATCGTGCCCTTGTGGAAAGCAACATGGAGACTAAAGAATACAGAAAAAAGATGGATATTTAAAGCTGCAGGATTTTTATCTGAAACGAAGAAGGAAATACAATTGCAGTGCCCCACTGAGATTTCCCATCCAAATCACTTTAAACCAGAGGTGCAAGTCCCTTAAAAATCAATTTGCTACCAGTGTCATTCCTGCAGCAGTTGGCACTGGTGTCTCTCGCAAGAAATTTGTCACCTCATTGTGGCTGGAAGCCCTGTGGTGGTTGGGATTTGGTGCCACCAGTCAGGAGGGATGGGCTGCCTGTTCGGAGGAACTCARATTTCCTTTGAGGCAGCTGATCYCTGTGGATTGAGCTTTTGKTTGCTTTTAACTGGTRTTAAAGAACGGGAGGGATGAGTCCACTGTGCAGTGATATGTAATCGTGTGTTTGCCTCACTTTTARTTGATTGAAACTTCCYGCCAGGAAGAGAAAATACCAGGAGAAATTTCTGTGAAAATGTTACATTTACATTGTGCCATCAAATGCTTCAGATAAAAACATGCAGCTTTAGCTAAACAGTCTTTTCTTCTGAGATTAGAAAGGACTCTGATATTAGAAAGGACCTCTCATCGGGTCCTACCCAAATGGAAAGTTTTGCCATTTCTAACATATTTCTCATTATAGGAACAGGCCCATTGCAAAGCACAAGTCATGTGCATCTTTGCATGTAACAGGAATTTTAAATTGCATTGTACTCTTAACATTTTTTCCCCATTCAAAGGCTTAACCGCTGATCGGAGATAGAGCCCTCCAAAACCTGCTCCTGCTAAATGCATTATCTCTTTCTGAAGCAATGTGTGTCCTTTGGTCTTTTAAAAATTTCCTCATAATGGAGTCCTTGAAACATCTTGAGGCAGGCTCACGCTGGAGAGCAAAAGAATAATCATTGGTGGGTGGTGCTATTTTTTGCTGAAGCTTGGATTGTAGTTGAAAAAAATGTTGCAGTTAGAGTTTCTCCCACACTGCCTGAGCTGCAAACCCCAGCAGTCCCCCACAGCAGGGCTGGGTGTCTCCAGGGTGGAGCAAGGAGTTTCCTCCCAAGCTAAACCACAGCCTGATCATTTTGTCTTCATCTGGGTCCTCTCCTGGCCCTGTGTATCAGTGCTGTCAGGGATAATGAGACACTTGGGTGGTTTTAGGGATCCCACAGATGATGTGTTCTGCAGTCAGGGTGGGATAAAGGATGCTGGTGCTTGTTGGGGGCTGTTCTGATGAGCCTGTGGCCACCTCRAGAGCAGGGACTGGAGGAGGAATTCACTTTGCTGTCCCTTTTTGGGGTTATCAGAGCGAGCACAGAGGTTAAGATGAACAAATCCTGCTTTTGTCAGCAAAGTGAGAGTGTAGCAGAAATCTCAGAAAGGGCAGATCTGAGCAATTGCTGTCCACTGTGTTTGTCAGAGGAGGGCTGAGATGACAGCATTCACATCTGGATCCCTCCCTGAGTCAGAGCTTTCCTGAGCTGGGACCCAGCCCTTGGTGTGGATCTGCCCTGTGTTTTTTKGGGAGCAGGGAAGGGATTGACCTGCTGGATCTGACCCAGATCCCTTTGGGTTCTGCCTCTGGCTTTGTTTTCTTTCCCACCCCATGTTTGAATTGGTTTCTTCATGAGCAAATGCCACCAGAGTTGTCAATATTCACCCCCAAAAAAGCTCCACAGAGGTAGAGCCAACAGCAAAACAGCGTTCAGGGTGAGTCACAGCAAACCCTGTTCATCTGCAGCAGCAGCATCAAAGGCATGAGCCTGTGCTATGGAATTTTCATCTGTGATGGGAAAACACCTTGTCTGACCTCTGCTCTGAAAACCAACAATGACCTTGATTGTGTAAACAGGACAAAATGAATTTAAAGTCTTATCACAGTTCTCATTATGAAATTCAGACTTGTTTGGCTTTTTTTTTTTTTTTTATTTTATGTATGTGTGTGGTTGTGTGGGAAAATATAAAGCTTTTTTGTATCAAATAACAT